TCCTCAATATGTTGGCATTCATAAGGAGGTAAAAGAAATTTTAATAATATCTATGAAACAATTGAAATAAATTATTTAAAATTAAATAATCATTCTATGCAGATTTACCAGTTTACACTGCGAATAATACATCATCCACTGAAATTGTCTGGACTAGGTCTTTTCAATTTTGGCAATGACTTTTTGCGAAAAGTTCGTTTCTATATTTATATTTTTATATTTTATTAAATATTTTCATTTTTATATTTTATCAAATTATGTTTTTCATTTTTCGTTCTTCCATTTTTCATTTCATGCGTTTCAGCGAAACGCTTATTGTTATTATTTAGGTAAATCTTTGTTTTATTTTATGATATATTAGAATAAAAATATAAATTTACATACAAAAAACCTGTCTAAAATATTACATATTATTATTATTTTTATTTATTTCTTGAAAATTATTGCCATATTAAAATTTAATCGACATTATTTCTTTCAGGTTAGCGTGACAATTGTGACGATTTTAATTATCTTAATCCAAATGCCTAGCACATTTAAAGGCTCTTTTAAGGGCATTTAAAAGTTGTGTGTTAATCTTAATATATAATTTTGGATCATTCGTGTCCCGCGCATTTCTTTTCTTTGAAATATAATATTAAGAATATCTGATTAAATACCGGTTTTTTTTCTATTTATAAAAACAAAGTTTGCGATCTAGACAACAAGTTTTGTGCACGTTGTCGGCCTCATTTCGAGCATATGATTTAACTAGAATAACTTCGAATTTCACCTCTGGATTATCGAAATGATTCATCGGTATATAGTATACTTTTTTGTAACTAAAAAAATTTTTATTTTTTTCTTTGTTTTCAACTTAATTCTTGTTTGTATTGCCGGAATATTTAGCGAATTGTTTAAAACAGAATTTAATCCTAGAACAACATATTACTAAATACAATTTTTAACACTCTGGTAATAAATATTATATGTCAGTAATATTATAATATTATGTTGTCTGTAATATTATAAAAAACATTCTAATAAATTATAAGTTTTTTCATTACAATAACAATAAAATATATTGTTCATAATGTATATGCAAATATATCTATTCCACAAAATTGAAGATAAAATATCTTCAATTTAGAGAATCATTCATGCGTATTAAAAAAATATTATTTTCAGATTACTAAATATAATAATTAAATTTTATGGACAGCTGACACTTGAACTATTGGAACGTGTGTGCTGATTTGCGATAACTGTAAAGTTTTGTCACCCCAATAATTGAGAATGAATTAAAATGAATTGATATTTTTATAAGTATTTTAAGTCCATTGAATGTAATTAACAAAAAAAATTTTAATTTAATTTAATTTAATTGGATCAATAAACTACATTTCTTATTCAGAATTTTGAATTGAGAAATATTTACAATGCACAAATATGTTTTAATTCCTATAAATGAATAAAGACGAATTGTGCACTTGATTTGAAAAGGATTTATTTTAACGTTCGAGAATGCATATTTTTGAAAATCTGAATCTATTTCAATCCATTTTCGTTTACTAGGACGCACATGTTCTAATAAATTTATACAAGTAGTTTGTGTTGGATGTGGGAAAAATTATCATTTTTCTCACATCCAACGCAATATATAGTGTGTGTGTGTGTGTATATATATATATATACACACACACACACTCTATATATATATATAACTTTTTAAAAAAGGTAAAAAAGGCGTTAAGAATATACGTGCTTCTCAAAGACCTAAGTGTCCAACCCAAATCTAATCTAATGATATGTAATCTAATGATACATACTATTTCTTCAAAAC